TTCTTCCCGCCCCACCCTCCTCCTGCTCGCTACAGAGGCAGTCCCACATCATCGCTGTCATCTTCTCCCTCCCCCTCCACCTCCCCCTCCCCCCGTCCGCATTGGTGCAGGTCGCCCTTCTCCTTCTCCTCATGACCTCCTGCAATGTGAATTTCTAATCATCTAAACTCATTCCAAATTTCAGATCCAGATCCAAATCAACACAAGAATTTCATGTCAACCAGCGCCCGCATTGCATCGCACCGCAGATGCACCCCCGTTCTTTTAGGACTATCACTCGCAGCAAAGAACGCACGACAATAATGCGCAGCCGCGTAGGAAAGTGGCCAAGACTAGCGGCTGGCTTGGCGGGAGGGCGGGCATGTCTGTACGGCGTAACGTCACCCAGATCGCAGTTTTCAAAATATGACCCGGCCAAGGCGGGTCTGGGTCGCGACGGGGGCATCGAAAATTGCGTTCGTTACCCAAATCAGATCAAATTCAGATTTGTCGTCTCCGCCACTCGGATCCATATCATCTACCACTTGCCCGACCTCGCCTGTGTTGACCCAAATCATGACCCAGATCAGATCCAGATCCAATTCGTGACCCAGGTCAGATCCATATCCAAATCGGAGAATTGCTGTATGACTGTGCCTGCTGTAAGTGGCCAAAAGAGGCGCGGGGAGCCGCACGAAATGCTGCGATATGGTTGAGGATTCGACACCCAGTTCGGCCCAGGCTTGACCCGGATTGCCTCAGATTTTCCCACCGCTTTTTTTACACAGTAAAGCATTGTCTCAGACCACCCATGTTTGACCCATTTCATCCCGTACCTGTTCTTTTCCGCCTCCGCAACATCTCGACGCTGCTCTTTTTCAGCAGCATCACCTTGTCTCGCTCACCGCCGCCAGCCGCCTGTTTCCCGTTCCCCCAGAGTTAAATTCAAATTTAACGAGATTCAAATAAGAGAGTATCCAAGCAACAACCTTTTTCAAACCCGCCGGAACGCAACCGAAGCGAGGCATACGGACGCAACCACGCAAACCACAGGGAAAGAAAGTTCAAACCGCAGCAACACAGTTGATCGGTTGTACGAGGTTATATGAAATTCCCAGGCAGTTTTGTTTCCCGCTGCGTTCTAAGCATTGGCTGCTATATAATGGCTGGGAAGGCCGCGGGTTGACGCACGTCGCGGGGTTCGGGGCTGGGCTAGGCGCCTATGTGCGGCTTTGTGGCGTAACGCGGAACAGAACGCAAAAGGGCTAATACAGCGATCCAGCGGATCGAGGTAAGCCGTGCGGCATAACGGTAATCGCCTTCGGGACGGGTCAAGGCAGAGGATGGGGATCAGGACTCCCGCGCGAGGCATAAGGCTAAAGTTAGCTGCTTTGTGCTGTGGCGGCGCAAGAGCGAAATGGTACATGTAAGGGTGAGGACTTAAGGCTATCGGTGCTATTGCCCACCCTTTGCGGCGGTTAAGGGGAATTGGCTGGGATACAGTTTGCAGAGCCGGATGTGCTTATGTGAGCGACAGAAGCGCGTTGCTGACGAGTCCCCACAGTCCGGGTGAACAGGCAGGACCGGGACGCCTTGCCTTGGGTATTTCCCATTCCTGCCGTCTGGTCCCCTTCGCATTGATGTCCGACGTATCGCTGTCGCTGTTTTCCAACAGGTCAGCTTTGAGCCGGAGCTCATCGGCCTGCAAACACAACGCGCCAGTCCCCCGGGTTGATAAAGTACGCTCATCGATGTGAGATCTGGTCGGAAAATTGTGAGGTCGCACAAAGGACCATTAAATGTAACAAGGAATTGGCAAGCCTTTGCAATGCGAGGCACATGGGACCCAACTGACTACATCCCATGAGTAACCAAGATGTTCAATGCATATAGGATACAAAGAATAATAAATCAAGCATATCGCTGCGAAGGCGGAGGCATAATGGGAAAGGAAGGGAACGACTCACCATCTCAGTGACCGCCTCATCATACAGCTGTTGCTGAAGGAATGGGGCAATAACGGCCATTCCGCGAGGTGAGCCTTACACTGACAGCTGAAAAGCTTCCGCCGACACAGGCTACCCACACCAACCAAGTAGGTATGCCTCGCAGGGCCGTTTCATTGCTTTTCCTTCATTAAAGGAGTACAAGATTGAAAAAGAAATAACGTCAGTCTAAACCTAGATGCTTAGCAAGGAAGGCTAAATAATAAATCCAAGCCGAACTCCTAATGCCATTTCAGCAGTTATTCAACCAAGCACTATAACACCAATTGAGGTGTATAGCTGTTTACTCAGGCATCGTAAATATCCCAAGGGAGTTGCGAAAAATGTGCATTACACTGTGCTGATGTACAGTGTTACACCAGCTCTTATATGACTCGCAAAAAAGCATACAGATGGAATCAAGTTCCTCCTAGATTCGTACTCGAGGCATAACTTCACCAAAAGCCAAACAATTTTGGTGCTGGTACGGCAACAGTACTGCGTTAGTGCCATCGTCTCTAGCTTGATAGGTTCGCTCCTTCGATAGCCTCCTACCTCCAGCATGGACGTGAAGCGAGCTGAACTGAAAATTTGAGGAAGGCATCCGACGCGGTTTCGAACCATCGCCCTCATTTCCCTCATAAATAGCGCCCCATTTTGGGCCATTATTATAATCCAGTAAGAAAGCTCCTCTCGCCTCCAGTAATATTAAAAGAAGCGCATTGCATAGTGCACGTACGGTGGTTGGAGGTACAAGAGGCACCTACAGCTCTGTTATTGCGCCAATACATACGCAAAGCAGCAGCACGTATGCCCCGTGCGCGTCGCGCACAATGCCATGGTCGCCTGCCGCATTCCTCGGTACGGTTAAATTGCACATGAACGGAGAAAACCCAAAGATGTTACATCAACATCTTCAAAGGTTTTTCCTCGCATCGTAGCATTGGAACGGCCTCCAATATTCCACATCGTCACTATCCAGGCCGGGCTGCTCTACACGTCGAAGGGCCTAAGGAAACCCGGCAAGGTACAAACCCCATCCAGGACCTTCATACTCTGCTTCGAACGCAACGAATCAGAACCGAGGCAACACGCGGTTCCCCCGGCTGGAAACTTGGCACTGTTTTTCAAAGGAAGCGACCCGAGCGACCCCCGCGTGATGCGTACGCTGTATCTCCCCAGCAAAACAAATATATATTGCATGTAACCAAAAACCCGCTACAAACAAAAATCCCGTGTGTCGCTGCTGGATTTTCCCCTCCGTGTGTTCAATGGACACACGCACACAGCCATCCGCCGCAAAGCTCAAGCTCACCATTCAAGGGCTGAACGGGGTGATAATACACACGTCCGAGGCGCGCCCTTGCTGGATATGCAAACACGCGAAGAGCTTGACGACGGCCCGACCCTGAATCGGCCTTAACCCAGCCGAAATCGCATGATCGAACCTCGCAAACCGCTGTTTTGTCTTTAATCTCCGCTCGTTTTCTATACCCCTCCCTCCCGCTCGCCCTATTCATCTATCTCCGTGTGGATCTCGAGATCCAACAAATTCGTCGAAATAGCCAGATGAGTTCTTATGCAGGTTGCACTGTCCGGGCTCCCTTGCGCTTGCTCGTCCAACGTTCCATGATGGAGGCCCAGTCACGAGTCACCCACTTATCACCGTCGTGGTAGTACAACAAGTTGGACGTTATGATGTACGACATAGTACCAAACTGTCGTACAGTCAAGCCAATGCCCGTCGAGATGGAGGGTTGGAAAGGAGGGCGAAATTAGGGTGGAGGATAAATACACAGTGCAAAAGCAGAGCGAGGGTGGGGTGAGCGGCCCAAGCATAAAACAGCGGCGGCGCCTCAGAGCATCGAGAAATATCCTTGAATAAATGTATCTTTTCATCGCGGCGTCATCGAGCTTTGGCTTAGGTATGGGCACAATCCCGCAGCCCCATATTGTCCATTTCCAAGCATTGCGCAGCGCGCGGTGAGAGGGCCAAGCGAAGTACGACAGTACGGAAGAGGGAGGATGGGCCCAACACACAACAACAAATCAAAGCGTGGGCTTTTTCGTGCATACACATATACACACCCAGGCACGCAGGCACACAACACACAAAATTACTTTGGTGCCATCTTTGTCATCTCCCTTCAAGAAGCTGCTCAGATCGTAAGTATACGTGTACAAGACAGTACAAGACGTACACGTTTGTTCGCGTATCGCGGCTCAGAGTACAGCGCAGCCCGCACCGACCTGTGCTCCGACTCGCCGTTGCAACCACCTGAAGCTCACGTTCCAGCTCCTCGCCTGTCAGGCATCACCAGGACAATAGATATCATCATTTAGTACACATAATAACAATAAATAACTAGCTACGATGGATAGAATCTTGGAGCCAAAGCAGTCCACGATGAGAGAAAGAGAGAGAGAAAGAGAGAGAAAGAAAGAGAAAGAAAGAGAACTTCTTTTTTTCACATGCAGAGAACAAAAATTTAAACACAAGAAACCGAACAGTGATCTGGATTCTTAAGGGAAATTTTCCAGAGGGAGAATCACGGAACGAACAGGAAGGGCCGCATATGGTTGGGGAGTAAGCTAGCGTATGTGGGCCCACCTAACCCTCTAATCTATCCCGAACGCTGACGTGGTGCACATGAGCGCCTCGGTGTGTGAGTGAGGGGCCCCCAGTGCCACTTGTGGTGGTGAGCGCATGATGGCCACCACCACCGTGTGATACTGCTCTCTGCCACACATGCGATGCATGCGATGAAGAGACATGCAAACGCTGCTGTGGTAGGGGCAGCAAGGAAGCGCCCATCACGTACTTGCGTTGCAGCGGACATGCCCATGCAAAACAGGATGAGAGCAGACCCTGGAGCGGGGAGAGGGGAGCGGGCGGTAAGGAAAGCAAGGTGTCGGAAGAGTCCAAGGCGTTTTCAAGGGCAGTGCGCCATGTCCATGAGGCCTGGTGATGCGATGCAGGGAGCGGTGGGGATTGAGGAAATTGAGCAGATCGCGTGTGAGTGAGTGCTTCACCCGCGGAGTGCTTTACCCCGGGAGCGATACACACGCACATACACACAAACACGCGTGCATGCACAGCATACCAATCCAAGCTAGGAACGTTCGTAAGTTGATGATGTTGATGATATATTCAGGCCTGCGGTCGCAAATCCTAGTCCTTGGCTTTAGTCGTTAGGAACCACGGTGACGAGTCATCCTGGCAACTACAATCACTGCCACCCCCTAGCAACCATGGGTTACTGAGCGTTCTGGGGGCTTCTTAGTAGATACAAGTCCTGGCGGCTTGAACGCAAGTCGCTGCTCCTGCTTCTTCCAGTCTCCTTGCCTACCCGTGGGTTCAGCGTTCCCTGTCAACAAGCAGTCCCTCACCTCCCAGGGCTCCCCAGCCAAGGTGCACAGTACGCGTCAGGTCAATGCTTTGAAAGCTCTCCTCCTGTGGGTTTACAACGCGTTCGCCACGTAAGCCCAGGAAAAGCGAGCTTGTGCAGAAAGTACAAAGCAGAAATGGTCACTTTATAGTATTCCACACGTCGTCGGCCGCTTGCTGTAGGGGCCGTAGAGCTAGGCGACGATGTTGAGGGCTGCTCTGGACCAGCAGGCACTTGAAGTGTGCTAGACATTTATGTGGTAAATGTGCTTGTAAAGATTGTCCTGAGCTAGGCGCAGCCGTTAAAATTTGCAAAAGTTGATAAACCGGTATGCGCTTTCAATCTCCTCCCTATCGTCTATACTGCCGTTGTGGATGTGAGCACAGAAACAGGAAGAAATATGTATGACGTTTTGCAGAAATGCCGATTCGGAGGAAAATCCTAAACATCGAGCGCAGGTCGTGAGCGCAGGTAGTAATTATAGTACGACATCCATTGTACTGGAATAGAGCCTGTTACCTGTTACGCACTACCAGCAAGCCTGTCACAGCAATCATTAGGCAAGTTTAAACGTGGAAAATGTTCTACGTGTGTTCCTGCAAAACTGCCTGCTAGATCAAGTCGCATGCTAATACCGACGAGTGGAAACCCTCCCAGCTCAGAGTTTGCCGTGTAACTGTCGTGGTGCGAGACTGGCAAGATGTCAGGATTAAGCTCCAACACACACCAATTGTTTGCGGGGTCCTGGGTTCGAGTTTTAGCTATGGCAGGAATTAATCAAGGACCACGAAGGTGATACCTGAGACGTGCACCCTGAAGGACCTCGCATGTGGTGCTGGCCTGCGACCCGATACGGATCTTAGGGTTTACGCTACCGCATGGATGAAGAGCAGGTTGTGCAGTTGCATTTTCTGATGTGCAGAGATTGTGCTGATGGTGAGCGCTAAACTCGAGATTTACCCTGAAATCGGAGAAATCGGCCAGCATGGATTAAGTGTGACCCATGTGACCACAAGCAAAGGGAACTGCAGGAATCGCTCACTACAATTCTGTGAGGTGTTCTCCCGGACGAACCTGTGTACCCCTCTCAGTCATCATACTCACATCCCGGGGAATTGACGCACGTATCCATATCGAATTTACATGAAAGATGAGTTCAAGGTTTTTAAATTATAGCTAGCTAATAGATGCTTATATCTAATAATCTTTAGTAAAATTCTATTCTATGATGATAATCAATAGCCGGGAGTAGCAGGCAGCTTGCTCCCTGCCTGGGCGCCCAAACCATGAGCTCGATCCGCATATCCACAGAGCGAGCTCATCCAGCTCCCACAGCCTTGCATGTACGGAATTCAAAATGTAAATATATAAATAATAATATATACCTACATAGGGACAAGGTGGACCAAGGAGCCCAAAGACGCCAACCTGTCAAACCTTATGTAATTTTTAGTTTAACTAAAGTTAAACGTTAACAATACTTGTTTGCGGGATCTGCGTTGCGTATATGTGCACAGCGCAGACCCCTCTTCAGTATTGTTTATGTGTATATATACATATATACATATAGATATATAGATTATACCGAGCCAGCAAAGCAAAAAAATGCAAAGTCACGGGTACACACGCGCGCGCGTATGTGCTAACGACGTCAACTACTCGGAGGCTAAGCTCGGACTGGTTTATAGATTGGCTTCGACTCGTTTAGGTTCACATTGCGCATTAAACAACGAAATTGTATGGTGATGCAAGAAGCGCTGTAATGCGGTTCCATGCTGCTCGGAAATGCTGTGCCGTACTGCCGGAGCCGTGTCGTACCCAAGCGTGTCGTATAGCGGATAGGTGTTCCGAGCAGCAATAACCATCGCAACCCCTATCGTCGCGGTTGCGTTGGAATGTGCTGCTCAGGGGCTCACAGCGACTTCCTCCGTCAGGCCACGCGAGCGACAGACAGGCAGGACAAACAGACAGGACAGATAATCAAGACTGACACACACACATACACACACATACACACATACACACATACACACATACACACATACACACGCACATACACACACATACACACATACACACGCACATACACACACATACACACGCACATACACACACATACACACACATACACACATACACACACATACACACATACACACACATACACACACATACACACACACATACACGCACATACACACGCACATACACACAAAACCCGCGCCACTACACCGAACGCACACACGCTCCAGTACGAAATGGAAACATTTTGACACATCATTACCACCATGACAAATCAGGACCGAGAACAGGAGCCGCCAGCCATGCCACCCCCTCTCCCCTCCACTTCCCCAACCAACCAACCAACCAACCACCAAACCAAACCAAACCGAACCGCAGGATACCTGTACGGCACATCATACACGCATACTAAGAGCCTGGAGGACCACTCGACCAACCAAGCCAAGCAATCTCTTGCAAAGGAGACCTAACTAAATACACTACATACTAAAAGGGATTAGAACACCAAAAAAAGCTGTGAACAGCAATTGCAGCAGTAGCAGCAGCATCTCCAGCTCAGAGGAGGCAGCACGTGACCCCCCCAACATATCGCTAACACAGGAGAGGCGACAGCAGAAACGCGCCCGTCGCTGTAGTATACATCTCATCATAACTACCATCAAAAATCACGATGGCCTGCTGCCAACACCAAGTGGAAGTACGAGCATCCATACACAGTAACTTTAACGCATAGTCCGTACACTGCGGTACGGCGACCATCGCACGACAATCACGCACACCGAAATTGTAATTAGAAGAGCCCCCCGGGCGGTCAAAACCCGCCGGAAAATGACCCGACTGAATGCCGGCACGAAACGAGCACACACAGCAGGCTACAACAGCTTGGCAACTTAGGCGCGCGCGCATGTGTGTGTGTGTGTTACACCACGTTTTGGAGTTGACGCGTTTCCCCCTAATACTCCAAGGTTATCATCATGGGGGGCCCATACATACATACATACATACATAGAGCCCTGATGAGGGGATGGAGCCCATGCGCCGAAGGCTGTCCGAAATAGCAACAGATATCGCAAACAAAACGCAGGAGAAATACTATTATTATTATTATAACCCTGTCGCAACAAAAAGCCTGGCAATGTGTGTGCATGCGTGTATGCACGCGTGCGCGCACACCTGTGTTTCAGTGTATGTATGTATGTGTGTGCCTGAAGAGCTGCTCTGCCTGGAAGAACAGTAACCGAGCTCCCCCTCAGGCAACCACATAAAACCCAACCAACACGCAAGGCCCTCCCACAGCACGGGGCAACACCGTCTCAGTGACGTCCGCGCTCGTGGGGCTCTTGATTATCCATATCAAGCACGCTGTACCCCGCCAGGGACCATGTTCCCTAACGTCCCAGCTGGGTGCCCCAGCTAAGCCTCGTCAAGTGGATACGCAACAACGACGATGACGATGACGATGCGTCGCTGACCACGAATCGGCTGCGGGCAGCTGCTTCCGTTCCGTTCACAACGGACGATTTCCTAAACAAGTTCACCGTCGGATTTCCTCCCAGCCAGACCATAACGGATTTCCATTCGCTAGGGCTCCCTTCCTAAACCGCGCCAAGGTATATATCATGAAGCATTGCAGCTTTTTGTAATTGTAAAAAAAAGGCGCACGGACACTTGACATTTTGACAGCAAAGCCTGGCGCGACAAAGCTTGGACGCTCTTCCCGAGTGCCTTCCTCAGAGCCATGCGGACCCTCCCAGCTATAGAGGAGGAGAGCAGTAGAGGAACGGGCAGGCAGGCAGCAAGGGTACAGAAACCCGGTAAAGCCCTCAAACAGACATTTGTGTGTATCATCACCTCTTCCCTTTGTGACGTGATCGCCAGCGACGCTGATCACCACCAATCGTCATTAACATCCGTTGCGGCGGCGGCGGCGGAAATATCTAACACCACTGCAGAAACCGCATTCCTCTGCATTCGCCGCGCAGCAGAAGGGATACATCCCCCCCTCCCCCACATGTAAATGTAATATGTACTCATGACGAAATCGCGAGTAAATGCATTCTTGAAGACATTTACCACGTCTCCTTCATTCGACGATTCATAGTTATCTTGACGATTTCTACCAGATTGAGATCAAAACATGACCGCCTGAAAGCGCGCGCGCGTGCGTGTGTGCGTGTATGCATCCTTAGCATCCAACATCTTTAGCGCGCTGTCCAAGCGGCCGCACTTCTGCAGTATACCCCTACAGGTATCACCAACATCTAACACCAAATGTCCAAACACCGAATATCACCGCTTACCGGTTACGCCACCACTACCACCCCTAGTACCAGCTGCCGTTACCAGCAGCGATATCGCTGCGATGTCTGAGGCATTACAACCGCCGTCATCATCAGCTTCACCCTCATCTCTATAACTTCATTATCACTATCGCCACCGCCGACACCACTATTGCTAATTAGTACTGCCTACTGTCATGCGAAGTCATAGCGCGTCAATTTATAGCAATAGCGATAAACATCACAAGCTACGGAGCTATCAACATACCAAAAAAACGCACAAAGCTGGACACCCTCGGCGCCCGAAAAGTAATGTTAAAACGTTGGCGCCGCAACAAGGCAGCTGCCTCCCAAACCGCTCAGACTGAAAGCCCCTGCGTTACAGCAGCGGATGCTGGCTCGTAACCGCATCCTGCCAAGAGCCACCATCCAACCAACTTCCAGCACACCAACGTGCAACAGGCTGTCGCCGCATAATCGTTTTCCTGCTCTCCTGAAAAAAATTCAAACTAATGCCTTCTTTCCTTTCCTGGGAAGCCTGGACTCGGAAACTATTATCGACATTTGGCTTTAGATCCACGCCTTTCCAAGCAAACTGCCGTACTAACGGTATTATAGTAAGCCTTAAGAATTTCTCAACTATTGGACGGCTTGGTCGGAAGCTAGGATGGCCGCTTGGACGCTATCATGGCCAGATAAAGTGACTTCAAAAGTAAAAGTTTGTTTCCATGTTCAACAACTTTTGCCCAAATCCGCCATGTTTTCTGAAATTCAGTTTCGACACAGCGCATTCTTCAGCATGTCAGCCAGGAGGACAGACTCCTTGTAGCGCGGGAGCAGCACGTACGGCGCCTGTCCCTGTCCTCGATCCGGATAAACGTCGCCGCTGCCCTCACTGCCTGCATTGCTGCCGCTGCCGCCGCCACGCCACCCGGCTTTTCGTGGACAGCCGCCCCGTACGGTTCCGTCGTACATGTTGCGCTTTTCCGATGTACGACTCCCTTCGCTGCGAAAACCTAGTACAGTGGACTTGTGAAACTGAACCTGTGCGGTAGATGCCTTGGATGCGGAGTAGGTGGCAATCGCCGCCGTCGTCAATCCGGAAGTTGAGGAATCCACTGGCACGTAACGGCAGGCTTCTGCCCCATCCGCCGCCGCCCTTTTTGCAGCGCCAGGTTGTGTCTGGTCAAGCTGATCGCTCCTAATGCGCGTGACAGAGCCCGCAGCCGTAAGCGCGCTGTACGACAACGATGTGTCGCAGCTTGACTCCATGGTACAAAGGGCTCTTCCGTATTCAGTTGGGGGTGATATAACATCACGCTCGGGAAGCGTTGCCAGGTCGTAACCTGAGCAGTGGTCGCGTGTGGAGAGACACCAGTTCTTGCACCGTAACACCTTGTGATGGATGGATGGATTCGTGTGCATATTAACATTTGGAATCCGAAACACGCTGACGAGGCTCAAGCAGAAGGCGCACCCAGCTGGGTAGGTATTTGATGCGTAGCAACGGTATTGCGGGTTCGGCCGCAGCCCGGCCACAAGTCTTGCGCTAATTGCTGGGAAGCGTGCCTGTTTGAGGCGCTAACGCGTATCCTTGTGACTTACCGCGCAGCTGCTCGGGTTCGGACATGGCACGTGGGAGGCGTGGGCAGCCGTTGAAGCTTTCCACGCGCTGCTTGCTATCGTCACATGGATGCCGTGCGTTAGGTGGCTGCACCTCCCCATGTATTTCCCGCAGCTCTGCCGTAAGAAGGCTAAGGCACTGTCCTTCCTTAGATAAATTTTGTTTCGAATGCTTTGGGTGGACATTGCCGTTTCTCGGGAACCCAGACGCGTCATTTGCAGTTGGAGTCAACGAAGGTGCCGTGGGCCAGCTCGACAGTTGGTGGAACTTTTGGGAGTCGCAGTTGATGCTGCTCGCGGAAGCCAGCCACGCGTCAAAGCTTCCGACGGTAGCCATTTGCCCATGCGGGTACCGCCCTTCCTGCGAGAAATTACATCCCAACACCAGAGGTTCTTCAGGAAAATATCTAGGTGCATTGGTACACGTGAAATCCATATATAAAGCATTGCAATACGAGGTTTTTGCAAATTATGCGACTGAGTCACGTGGTGCACGAGGCCCTGAAGGCATCAGCCGAAGAGGCTCCAACTCACCAATCCCTCAGCTTGGTGGCTCACAAGACACAACTGGCTCTAGGAAGATCCTCCGCTGACAGCCGCACGTGGATGTCTCAGCTAGCCCACCCGAGGGCATAACGCCACCATTTAGAGCTTTGGTAGACCTGATTATGCATCAGTGTCCCAAGCCATCAGAGATCTCATCAATCCATGGCGGTCATGTCAGGTTAATACCATATAGCATGTACGACATTTATTTGTAAGTCTCACGGCGTTAAAGTTATGGAAAACGGTTTTTTCATTTTTACGGAATTACTCGTCAGGTAGTTTACCTTTTGCGTCCGATTGTATTATTATTAAGTGAGCCACGTGTCAACTGCTACCACGTGCACCCGCTTACATACGCGTGAGCGCCTGCAATCACTCCTCTTGATTCTGCCACAGAATGTCCGTGAGCTTGGTTCATACCTACTAATACTAGGATGACGCCGTGATAATAGGAAGCGATGTGGCTTGCTAGTCTGACGTACTGGGCGCGCTACATTAGCGCCGCTTTTTGACGTAGGAAGTAAAAGCTACCTGTTAAGTTTCAGTAAGGTCTACTCTCGAAAAAAATTTTACTTGCTGAGAGGCCTGCTTGAGACGGGCTCCAACACAGATAGAGACGTGACCCATTGAAATCCATCGAGATTTCATCCTGATCTCACCCTACCCTGCTCTGCCCCAAAGCCTGAAACTAGCTAGCCCGGCTAGCTGAGTGCGCACGCTCGAAGACAGAAAGCGGAGACGAAAAACACCATACGCTTCCACACATGCTGCCCGGCCACTTGTCATCGCCTCTTGTCTCGAAGCATCATCGCCTCTTATCTCAAATTTTCGTGCAACAGCATCAGCAATAGCAGCAGTAGCAAGCGTTTGTGCTTGTGTGTTGCTTCATTCTACTGCGTCAGTCAAATGGCGCTTTATGGTACATAGCCCTAAGGACAATTTGGCCCTCAGGAGGAGCAGGAGCCCCTTCACCGAAGACCGAACCAGCTACGCAAGCTGGTAAAATCATTGCATTTCATTACCCCAATAGAATTGCTGTGCCCACTTCGTTTTTTGCTTCGACCATTCATGAACAGTTTTCCACGAGCAACAAAAGGCGTCAGCAGCAAAGCATTTGACGACATCATGACGAGCAGTGTCCGTCTGCCGCCGGCTAGTAATAGCATATGGTGTACGTCAGGCGACGTCCCGTTTCCTGTTGAAATTGTGCCACCACGGCGTCCACGCAGTCCTCCCACTCTCCACCCTGCTCCAGCTGCACGCATTTGTGACGGATCGGGGAATCGATAGGGTGACACAAAAGCGCGGTTTGATGTGCGGAAGGGCAGAGGTGCTAGAGACAAGGGCTAGAGATAAGTTGAGGGCAGTCCGTATGGAAGCCAAAAACCGCTATAATACTACCTGTTGGGGAAATCATCATATCATATATCATGATGACGAAAATTGCGCAAAGCAATCAGCTGCCGACGACATCTATAGCATCGCAAAATCCCCGTAGTTTAAAGCCAATGGAGTCCTTGGGGAATTTAAGGGGGAAGAGAAACACTATGCACATTTCCTCAACATGCCCCTGAACCCTCCTCCCCATTGCCCCCCCCCCGCTCTTCCGTGCCCCCTTCTTTCTCCCTCGCCTTTCCTTCTTTTTTCCTTACCATCTGGCATAGCTTCAATGTCTGCAACGCTGCGAACATCGCTTCCTTGTGATTGTCCTTAACGTCCTGCACGAGCGCGCATCAGAACAGGATTGCATCCAGAATCCAACACAGTCTTCAAGTGTCGTACGTGTACAAGCTGATGACGGCATCCACGCTAACAGTCGCACTCGCCTTGCGCGTTTCGAGCTATGTCCCCTATTTTCTTTCCTTCTCTTCATCTGCCCCTCCATCACCTTTCCGAAGCATGGTCACACCGTTCACAACAACGTGAAACCGGCACCACAGATATACATGCATGCATGACTAAGGGAAGAGAGGGTCATACCCGTTGTTTAAGTGAAATCCGGAGTTTTCGGATGTCGGATTTCTCCGCCATAGAGCCCCAAGGCGCCGCCATAATGTAAAAAACGCCTCCGTTTCCCCCCTCCCCTCCCCGGGCCCCAGTCTTCCTGGCCTCTCCCCGTTACCACACGGCCGAAATAACGGCCATACAACCGTACTAACGAACTCACCATGTTGCACACCAGCAGCGGCTGCAAGGACGCCTGAGGTCGTTGATTCATGTCTGTTTGGAGTTTGGAGGACGTGGAGATCGTTGAGAGGGTGTGGAGATGTTGGGGTGGGGGACAAGTTTGTGGTGGTGATGTTCGCGCTGCGGATAGTTTGTCCTGTGTCCTGTCCTGTCATGCGGCCTGACCATCCAGTAGTCCGGTAGGAGCCGAAAAGATGTCGCCCTGTCTTTGTTTCCCTGCTTGCTTGCCTGTCTGTCTGTTTGTCTGTCTCGCGCTTTATGCCTTGTCGTAAACGTACATAGCGACTCAGCGATACCAGCGACGATCTTCAAAGTCTCCACATCAGTGGCATTCAAAGTAAGGATGATGGCTATTCGTCACAACTCCCCTTCATGTTTTCCAAGTTGACAATGATGACAAATCTGATGCTATTATCCTAACGCTGGTCTTGATTTCTTAAAGTAAGGCCCCTTATATGGATGGGAACCCCGCCTCATGCACAGAACATTCGGACAGGTGACGGCGCCTTGCGTTTATGAGGGGGAGCGGTTAGGACTCTGACCGATAGAACGCCCCGCCAATGACGGAGTGCTTCAGCGGTGTCACACATGGGGCGGGTACCGTACCCCGGCCATAGCGAGCTCGGGAGATGTGTAAGCATTACACAGACAAGGTGTAACATATACACAAGCGCAGACTCCTTCAACCTGTATAAACCTATCGAGGCTCAGTTTACCTTAAAACACATGCACACATACATATACACATACATAAACACATACATACACATACATACACGTTCTCGTCCTCTCACCCTCCAGCACCTGCTCCATCACCCGCTCCTCAAACGTGATCACCACGTCGAACTGGTCCCTGAACCAAGTACGCAAAGGAGAATGCGACACTGTTTTCTCGCAGCACGAAAACATACTCTGCCTCTGAGCGTGTGTGCATGTGTGTGTTTATGTGTGCGTGGGTGTGCATGTTGTGCTGTGACTGGAAATCGTGCTTTCCTAGCATCGATCCATCGTCTTCCTGTTTCTGAGCCCGCTTCAGCTTCTTCTAAATGCTCACACTGACCCTCACCAAATTCCCAACACCACCCCATCTTTCAAATCAGCAGTGTACGAGGCCACCGTCGGCCGTTCATCGCACCTTCTTACCAAGCCGCCGACGCTGGACTTGCTGCGCTGTGTTATGTTGCTCGGTATCATTTAGTTTTGGGCTGTATTTGTTGTTTTGCTTGTCACGCCAAAACATCTGGAGCGCACAAATTATGTGCCACGACCGAGTTAGTCGCTATCCGCAGGTGGTTAGGCCAACCGAAGGTAGTTGGACGAATCGCATCTTGCTCACGTAGTACTGCCCAGTAGTCTAAACTATTCATGTGCACCTGTTCTTGTACTGTGCTTGTGTGCGTGTGTTGCGTGTGTTGTGTGTATTTCTCACATGCTGTAATAACCCTACTGACTTCTCCTACCTATTCTCCTGGTACCGCTCCGGAGCCAATTTGACGCCCATGTTTCTTTTAAGCATTTCCAGTAGACCGTTTCGGTTGTAGAGATCCGGATCCTTGGCGGCCAGATCGTCGTATATGGTCTTGTAAGGCGTGCCAAACTGCAAGAGCGCGGGGAGTCAGGAAAAGGCAAGCGAACCAAGACGTCGCGGTGCCATGGAACGGTTGAACACGCCAGCGCGGGAAGGGCGTGGGGATGGGGCAGGAGCGGGGCTTGGGCTGGCTGGCTGGCCTGGGGACGCAAAGCCCGAGGAGCGTTGGACGGTAGTGATTCAAACGGAGGGCTGATGACTTGCAGCAAAAGAATGTTTTCATGTTTTCATGGGTACATGTGTGTGTATGTGTCTTGTCTTGTTGACCTGAGCAGCGTGGAGGAAATGGCGAAACTGTGTGTGTTACGCCATCTTCTGGAGCTGCGTTGCTACCCTTCAAAAGGTGTGGTGAAGTCCCTTACGGCCCCGACCTGCGAATGTCCAAGAGCTGAAGCCAGCGAGTCGGTGGGGGCAGATAGAGCACCTACTAAAGGACAGAGAGAAAGCACACAAAGTGCTGCTGTCGGAGTGACACGTGAGTTGTTGGGGCTTGCCGTTCGAACGGTGTGTGGGTGATCGCGTGTGTGAGGGGGTATGTTGGAGTGCCAGCTGAATTTTAGAGCAAAACGTGAGGGAAGCGCTTTTAGCCCACCAACATGTCGAAGTGTGGCTGCTAAATGCTTCGCAGCAGGTGCCGGTTTGCCGGCCGTCGCTGGAGTAGAGGGGTAGAATTGTCAAGTGTTGTGTCCTGGAGTCTCAATAGATGGCGCGCGCGAGTATGGGACAATCCGTCAAGCGTGACGGTCGTCCTTGCGTGCGACCCGCAAACCTGAAGATGCCTTCCATTGGCGCGTGGTTCGGGCAAACATGCCTACCTTATACACGTTGGGCTCCTTCTGACTGGGTCCTGGGAGCTTCACATGAGCACCAACACCGAAAGAGCTGACCTGTGCAATTTGTCCAGAGCTAACTTGTCCCAGAAGTAACTGCTCCCAGAGTTGAATTAAGACGTATAAAAAACACTTACGTTCATTCCATGCTTTTTAAGCAAGGCGTGTGCCTCCATCGAGCGGTTCTGGTTGGACGCACAAACCATCGCGAAGCGCAGCTGACGCATTATTGCTGGGTTGTGGTGCTGCCAGCTAGAACACCACAGCCCGCGCAGTGATTACAACGCTGTGCACTTCACGTAACGACCAAAGAAGCTGGTTATAAATGGAAAGTTGAATGCCTCCCTTGCAGCTTGCAAAACAACTACGAGGCTACTTTGTACCAGTATGCAAGCTCAGGAATTGTGGCATTGACATCGTTGGCCTTGGAGTTAAGAGCCACCTGACTAATGACAATTTTCCAGCTGACGTTTCCAGGCCTGTAAACAAATCTCAGACCTCAAACCGAAACATTGGCTCTTGCATTTTGCTTAGAGAGTGGATTTGTAGGCAGTATAAAACACGTGACCCAGAGGTCGGTCAATGTCTTTTACCCGCTGCAAGTTCCAAAGGCAACAGCAATAACTGAAAGCTTGAAGTATTGCAGGAGATATCAGTTCCTTGTAGAAGTGCGGAAGATCCATTATGCAATGGGCATAGATGGAGCTTGAAATACGAACTTGAAGTACGATGTTTCAGTATTTTTATTCCCAAATTTAGTAACACAATACTTCAGCACATCTTTTAGTCGGGCTGAAGTTTAAATGGTGCAGGCGTCTTATATTCGACTACGCTAGCAGTTCCCTGTGTGCGAGAACGTAAAAGATTGCGGGCTTGAGCACATGAGCGACACCAATCCAGCTCCGCATGCGTGCCGGTTGCCTACGTGCTCCTGGGAATGCGGGCTATCTGCATTTGCCAGCACTTGCTGCGTTCCCTCCGTCCTTCGGTCAACATTTTCAGCTTGCCCAAAATGCATTTTTCGCATCACAAGCGGGCACCCCAACCTCTTTAACTTGGTGTAAGGTAGACTGCCGGTAGTTACGGACTCAATCCAGGTTGTCGGCAGAGCTCTTTTCGTTCATGTGTTGCGCACCCGATGCTTGTGTTTGCCATTCAGTGCTTTTCTTGCGCTAGCCATGTGTTACCGCGTGTGTGAGATTGTTGGTTTTGGTGATATCAGTATCACTGCGCCTCCTCCCCACTGCCCAGCAATCCCTCCCCCGCTTGATGTTGATACCCCGGCGTCGCGAGGGTTGTTGGGTGGTCTGTCTTTACAAGTTACAAGTTCCATACGTGCGCGGGGGTCCGTCCGTAAAAGCCGTGGGGGTCGTGGAGGGACCCCCACCCGAATCGGAACGTTAATTAACGTCCTCGCCCTGGGGATCGGCGCACCGGGGTTGTTGAGGGTGCTGCGCACCTTGATGGTCTCTTCCCGTACCTCCGAGAGGAGAAGAGGGTTTGGCCTTCCGCCCTGACATACAGCTATACAGTTATTTATGATAGTTTGTTAATTATTGATACTTGGAGGCGCCCTTGGAAGCCAATGTCACGTACGTAAGTGCCTTGATATATTGAATAGGCCCAGCTTACCCATTGCATCAGGGAACAATCTGTAAACCATCTATCTATCTATCTACGTATCTATCTATCTACCTGCACAACCAACCTGAACTATAGCCCAGCACGGCATCCAGCCGGCTGATCGGTCTTCCGGGCTGCAATACCTCCCGCTTTGGCGGCACCTACCAGACAGTCAGCGTCCTGCTGTCTACCTGCTATCCAATACTGCACCTGATCGACATTACTAGACAGTGGTGACTGGATCTTAATATATGCAGGAAAATAAATGCGGGTCAAAGCTGGATACGCCCGCCAATGGTCATTCCGGCGCTTTCCCGGGGTGTGCGTGTGTAACTGTTACATGTCGATTCGGGCCTGACGTGGGCTCGGGGCACCTAACCGTACCCCAACGGGAACAACCGCCGAAGTGCTCCCATCATTACAGAGGCGTTATACCGGTCAGCGTCCTAACCGTTATCCTTATCAACGCAAGGCGCCCTCACCTGTTCGAGTCCTCTAGCCAGCAACATACACACCAGCTCAGGTGCCAAGCAACCTCCGTTCCACCGAAAGCGCATGCTCTACAGCTGCGCGATCTACCAATGCACTCATACCGTCATACCAATAGCGCCACCATATCCTTGCGAATCCTGCCCCCGCCGCCGCCCGGTTCCGTTGTCTAATCACCATCTGGTATACAGCCGCCTGGTCCAGGCCCTGTGTGCGTATGTATGTGTTCTGACCGAAAACTCCTAACGCTCATCTTACAAGTGTACATCTCCATGCCGGGGGTTCAGGGAGATCCGCTAGGATGAAATACGTCCTGTAGAAAGCGGCAAAAAGGTAACAAGCGCGCGTGCGAAGGTGCCTGAAACAGCTTGCTGTCACACCTCAGAAGCACAAAGGCTACATCCCCGCGCCATTCCATCTGCCGCATCCTGTGGCCGTCTGGGCACGTATGTGCGCCGGCGTTCATGCACCACAAACACAGTTAGCTCATCAGGAAAGGGTCCAATCGACCCTCCCACCGTTTCATGCAGAGCCCCCATCCCAGTCCATTCCATCCACAACTCCCCCCCCCAAAAAACAGTTACTCTCCTGTCTCAGCATTTACTTGCCTCACTCCGAAAACGAAAAGCTGCAACAAAGAATGTCCCATATCTTCCGAACCATAAACTACAGCATATGCTATATGTTACAATGCTGTGTGAGGAAACAAGGAAACTATAACCTTGTTTGTAATGTACGACATGTCCGGTCGCCTTGCTTACTTATACATTTAAACAGTACAAAATATGCCAGGGCTAAAAGCGCAGTGCTCCGGAAAGCACCCGCCTACCGGCAGCAGCTGACCTGAGGATTACGGGAGCTTTACCAACGAACCGGGGGCCTCCGACATGGCGTCTTCAGCACATACTGCGCTCATACCTCTCCAAACACCGCTCTTCTAGATAACCTAAGACGCGCCTTCAGACCTTCATGCGTTGACGACATGCTCTGCTTCTAAAAATATGAGCGGCCAAGTGTTGGCCATCCGCAACCTCATCTGCAGCAGCCCTGGCGCCGCGGCTACAGCCCTGACAGCGCTCCAGCTGCACTGGTTTCGGTGCGATTGCAGCGCAGCCATGGCCCTAGTTTGATGTCGCTGTCGCGTCAACGGCTATCGCAAGGAGAAGACGTCAAGGGGCTTGTCCAGCTCTCCGAACCGGCTTGCGCAATCGCGTGCAGCAGTGACCACGCGGCATGTGCAACAGAAACATTTTCACACAACCGTTGAGACATTCCGCAAAATGTTAAAGATGATTTAATCGCCCTTCCGCCGGAAGCTGGTGCCCTCCTGGAGCCTGCGGGTGGCACGGTCAATTTGTTAATCAATTTTGCTTCCCGAGCGAAGCTAAGTTCTTGCATTTGCCCCGGCGCTTCCCTCCCTGATGCCGCGGGCTCGGACGCCTGGGATTTAATTCCCAGGAGTAAGATTATGCTGTGCACTTCACGGGTGCAGACTTCATAATTGCAGGTAGAGGACGTCATGCGCTCATGTAGCGCAAGCAGCTCTGATACGACAAGGGTTATTTTACGACACAGTTAAAGGAGCCAGATAAACTCGGTTCCCTACGCAAACGCCTGTTTCGAATCCAAAGGCACGTGCAGTCTAAGAAGTGATATAGTCGGTCATACTCGCGCAGTGTATGAGCATATGGCGCGCCCCCAAGCCCGAGCTAGCAGAGATTCCTTCTTCGGAACGCCAATGTCCTACGCCGAAAAATTCGCATCCCAAAACAAATCAGGCACATCGTGAACTTACCTGGCCTTTCCGCCCGTCGGCGTCGCCAATACCGAAGCGCAGCTGGAGCACGCCACCACTTGCTGGGAGTGCGAGAAGACGGTCACGATGCTGAAGCAGCCCTGGCACTTAACATCCATATAATAAGAGTTTGGACTCTGGACAAGCCGCTTGCGCTTATGCCGCCTAGCCTCCAATGCTGCCGGAGGATGGAGCAGGTCGTAATCTTGCTGGAGCGGCATGATGAACTCTACGCTTCTCTTACACAATATAATTGAACCTCGGGGAGGCTCAAGTATGCATCACGGGGCCTATATGTGAAACCTGATGCCGAGTACGACACTGCCGACACTAGGGAAAGGCATAGAGGAGCCGACTCTACTGTCTGCTTTAAACTGAACTGTTGCGCATGGCAAAACATCCATTGTGGTTGTCATCGAAGATTCTAGCTGACGTGATTCATCTTCAGGAGCAGGTTGCTATTGGTATCATTCCACGGCATAGCGAGGCCTCGTGCTGGGCCTATAAAACATGCAGCACGATGAAGTTATTTGGCAGGTAATAACGTGGCACGGTTTGTTGGCGGCGGCGGTGGCGCATCTGGCTGCTGGAATGGTTGCTTTCGGCTTGAAACGGTTCTCTTGTTATGAGCTGCATTCACACCAACAGCATTGTCTTTCGTCGTTCTCCGTCTCTTCGCGCGCAGGTAATAGGGCACGTCGATTGCAGCTTTAGGGCAAAAACTCAGGCACAAAACTTTTGCCGCAATGAATACAACGTCACTGGGCTCTGCAATCGTAGCTCGTGCCCATTAGCTAACAGCCGGTATGCGACTATCAAGGAGGAGAACGGGAGATGTTACCTTCTCATGAAGACGATAGAGCGGGCGCATTCGCCAAAGAATTTATGGCAAAGAATTCGCCTTAAAAAGAACTATGCGGCGGCGCTGGAGCAGCTTGACCAGCACCTGCAGTATTGGCCCAAGTTCCTGGTGCACAAGAACAAGCAGCGCTTTACCAAAATCACACAGTACCTCATACGCATGCGGCGGCTGGAGGTGAAGGCGCGACCAAAGCTGGTGGGCATCAATCGCAAGTGAGTACTGTGCCTGTGTTACGTAGGAAATTCGGTTTTGGGATTTGACGGGCACACAGGAAACTGCTAAGCGCACCACACTTGCTGGGCTTTCTGAGCTATATCTTCTTACCTACAACATTTTGGTTGCAAATGCCCACAAAGAGCACTGATTCGGGCCGCTCTGGTTCCTAGAGCAGCAGTTATGGAGAAGCTCCGCCCCTCTTGACCTAAGGGCCCCTGAGGGAAGGAAACCCGTTGAGGCGTCAGCATCATGCAGGGGATGGGGGACCCCATCTCTCTTTCACACATCCCCCTCATTCGACATCCACGCCCTGCCTCTTGAAACTCAGTCCGGGGCTATAGCACGAAAACAGCTCTGTAGCATCCTCAATGGTGTACACGCACGTGGTGGTGATGTGTGCGCAACGCAGGCTTGAGAAGGTCGAGCGGAAGCGCGAGGCGAAGGCGGAGGCGGCGGCTCATTTGGAGAAATCCATAGAGACGGAGCTGCTCAAGCGACTACAGGTAAGAGGGTGTGTGTGTGTGCGGACAGCGCCGCCTTGCTCTTCATTGCCCTCTTTGCTCTTCTGGTGGTGCTGGAATGTGTGGGTAGATTTTGTATGTATGCATGTATGTATGTGCGCATGTATGTGATGAACTTTTTTCCTGGATACAACCCCTCTGGCTTGCTCTGGATTAAAACACCAAATCCAGCAGAGGGTGGGTAGGGCCTTTTGTTTTTCTGCTTCATCATGACGGGTTGGTGACTCGTCGTCGCACAATCTTGCCTGCTTTGCGCACAGAGTGGCACGTACGGCGATATCTACAACTTTCCGCTGGCGCAGTACGAAAAGGTATTAGATACTCAGGAAGTTAAAGAGACGGAGCAAGAGGAAGAAGAGGAGCTTGGGGAAGAGTTTGTGGCTGGGGACGACGATGATGATGACGAGGAGGAGGAGGAGGTATGTACGGGGGTAAGAGGACACGGAGGACATTATCTTTGCTTTGGCATTGCGTGGGTGGCGCATGAGCGTTAGAGCGGAGGCCTTATGGTTCTGCTGTATTCGATATGCGCTACGATACCGGGTCGAGGCGCCTTGACAACGGACTACATACTTACGAACTGTGTTGGTTAACATGTAGTATATTGGGCATACTGGGCAAGAGGCGGACGGAGGCGGCACCTGGTGATTTCCGGGTGTTTAGAGCAGGCGGCCTTCTCCTGCCAGCGCCGTCTGCTCGCCTGACCGTTCCGCGACAGAAATCACCGCGACGTGACAATCGTTGGCTCAGGCCTCTTTTCTCCTATTCCATGGCCCAGTCGACACGCATCCGCCGCACAAGCATATCTATTTAGAACAATTAGCATCTTTAGTCTGGTCTGGCCGAGTCGTGCTTAACATCGTGCCGGGACTTTGTCCTTTACATAATTTTTTAACTGTTGAGCGAATATTTTCAGCAACAAAACGTTTTGTTGTTAAGTCTGTACCGCCTTGCTTCGTTTTATCAGTTTAGGCTGTGCCCTGCTCTTCACCCGCCATTTCACCAATGCTGGTTGGTATAGGATATGGTGTTTTCTGTTTGCTTGGATTGGCTTGGATTGGCTCCTCTCACCCTGGTTCCCTACCTGCTGCTGCACCTGTTATGATGTTGGCCATTGGCCGGGGGTGGACGTGTATCCGCTCGGCGGCTGTCTCCCAATGTGCCGCCGGGCTCAGTTCCTTGCCACCCCACGATATCAACCCCGTGTGAAGGGGGCGACGTGACAATCGTTGGCTGCGATGGTTTCACTGTGGCGCGGTCAACACGCATCCGTCGTACATGTCTTCTATCAGTGTTTCAGCATAAGATCCTACAGTACGCATAGCGCATGTTTCGCGCAGCTGCGCTGCGCTGCCACCACCGTGCGCACGCCTGAGTTGCGGGTATCTGTATGTATATATGTATGCTAAGTAAGCTATGACCCTGAGCATTGTGTTGATGTTGACGGGATGAAATTGCACTGATGGATGATGCAGGTGGTGGACTACCTGGAAGACGATCAAGTCCAGTTGGACGAGGAGGACATGGAGGATTGGGATGACGGGACTGGGCTTGGCGAGGACGACGATGGCGACGACGACGACGAGGAAGAAGACCAGGAGGATGACAAGGTAAGAGACCAACTAGTAGTAAGGGATGAAAGTATTTATACTTTCATTTCTCACTGCGTGTAAAAAATTATAGCTGTGCTAGAATAATTAGTCGAATGCCGGTCTTCTAAACTTGTATCTCATTCTTATACGCGCCGCGCTGTCGTACCCGTGTTCAATTTGGTGTTCGCTTTGCGGCTCGCTTTCCCCATCATATTTCGCGGATTGTTGATTATTATATATATATATATTGTAATTTATAATATAATATATATATATATATATTGTAATTTATATCTATTTATATACCCTGTTGTGTGCTGTTATTGCAACCCGCAGCCGAGCACGTCGGGTGGCGATTCTGGCGACGGGGGCAGCAGCGGCGATGAAGAGGACGACGTGGCAACCGGATCTGATCAAGAACCGTCACCGTCTCGAAAACGGAAGGCGGCGCCGCCGCGAGCTCCGCAACGACGAGCATCCGCGGCCGGGACGGCGGCGGCGGCGGCGGCCGCGACTCGGAGAAAACCAGTCAAACGAAGGCGGCAGCAGCTAGAGATCGAGTACGAGGAAGAGCGGACTCAAAATCGCGACTTGAACTGAGCTTGTGTATGTGTGTATTGCGTAAACAGATGAACGGCGGACATGTTTTTGACGGATGGGATGCTTGGGGTGTGTGTAGAGCTTCGGCTTGTGCCATTTTAAGGCGGATAGAGTGTTGGGGTAGATGGACCGGCGGCTCACGAGCTCCCTTGAAAAACTTCTGTACGATGCTCCCGGGGCGGGGTGGTTGTTGGATTTTTCGTTTAAGGTGCGTGTATGCCTCGGCCTGTGCTGGGTGATTCATCTTTAAAACTACTCCGCCGCCTGCAACATGATGACGTGGGATGCTGGATGCAGGGGGTTCGCAGGGCCCGTGCTTTTCGTTGGCTGTACTTACTGCATGCATATGCATATATGACTTCCTTGACTATTCGAGCTTGTTTGACAAAATGGAGCTGGCTGACCTCCGATTGAAAATAATGGCTCACAGTATTACCGGCGGTAGTATGGAGCTTAGGAAGAACCTTTTCTAGGAGCTGCGGAAAACAGAGGAAGGGTCAGAGGGGCTTGGATTAGAAGAGATACTACAGATACTCGGAGTGTTACTTAGCTGAGGGCGTCAGTGCAGACTGTGTTGCTTTCCACCTCGGGCACCTATACCTTGCAATGTTTTTACGGCTCTGTTCCAGGAAGGCTCCACATGCAACACTCGATTAGCGCTCATCAGCTTTTTCCAGTCCTACTTAAAACTGTAGCTTTGACCTGTATGACCCTTTTCATTTTCTTGCTCCTAACGGAACCCAATATATTTAATTATCAAGACCTCAGTGTGACACTGTGCGGCGCACACGTGTTGCTAAATTATTGCTCAGTCCTGCCGTGTTGCGTTACAGTAGCTAAGCCGTCAACCGCAAGCACAACTCAGTAGCAAAACAACCCGTTGCGAAACCCCCTCCCAACACCAACCCATTGTGAAAGTTGCACTAGTGGCCGATAGTAATGACAGGTCTTGAAAGGACCCACAAGTGCAACGATCGCTGGTCGGTATAGGTCAAGAGGGTCATCACCCATGCCCCAGCCGCGGTGCTGTCTTCACCATTATGCTCTCGAAACCTCCGCACTCTTCCAGCACCCAGCTTCTGCACCAAGCTGCAATCTGCACGGTTGTTAACGGCAGCGGTCACACCTTCAGAGTGCAGTGAGTGTGTTCCAAAGCGCGGAGACAGCCCTGCCTCCACAAAGAGCCTCCACAGGGGCCCCGGAGCAGTCTGTATAGTTGGGTGGGATGGTTGTGTTGAGCGGCGTGGTATGCTGCTCCAAGCTCGGCATGCCATCCGATTTGGCCACGGCCCAGCGGAGGGAAGGGATGGTGGTGACGATGCCGCACAACCCATATCGTGTCCATCGGTGCCGCTTGCAGCACACACGGACCACTACAAGTGGGGCACGATATGTGTATCAGGGTCTCCATTTCAGGATTGGCACTGGCACAAAGTGGGCGCCGTCGGCAAAGTCCACTGGGAATGCAACCGTGTACCATCTTGGCGGGTGGATACCCCTTGGGTGACCCCGAGTGGACGGGACTATGCCCTCTTTCAGTAACACAGACTAGCTTGGACGAGCGGAAAAGCTGCAGCCAAGACTAAGCTATCACTACTACTACTACTGTAATTATTACGATGATATGATGACTATTATTATGGATTTTATGGATTTGGGCCACCAGGTTGCCTGAGGCCCGAGAGACATGGTGAACCAAAGCCGTGCATGGTGGCGGTTGCATGCATCAGGGCTTGTCCGATGATTGCGAAGGCGGAAACACCACCCAGCGACATTCGCACCCTGTCGCATGTCAGTATCTGGCGAAATTGTAAGGGGGAGCATTAGGTGACTGCTGTCGATGTGACTAAGGCAACTGCACATTATCTCGTGACCCCACGGTCTGGCCAGTTGTGCAAACAAAGCAGGGTTTAGCAGCCAAACGAAAGTGCCATGCCCCTTGAAGGGTGTGTCCGCGAACTGGTGGCACTCAAGAGGGAAACAATCCACTGAGATCCAAGCCCTATTACCAGAGCAGTGTTGCACACACGTCATGTGCATGGCCACAAGGGGTCCACCTTTGGATCATCAAGTCTTTAGCAGGTTGGCTTTGATTGTCACCGGCACCCGCTAGGCGTCCAAGCACCCCTGCCGAATGAGGCTCGGTAACACATTAAACATCGCCGGTCAACAACAGGTCCAGGAGTCTGAGATGGACCCTCCAGTTCCGATACCCATCAGCCCACAGCAAGGGCACCGTCCTCAAGGACCCAACCGACCCAGCCGCCATACGAAAACTCGGAACAGCATCTGTGTGGATGGCCAATGGGTGCGCGTGGGTAGGTTGCCAAAAGAGTTTAACCCACCCTAGACTGCAAAGAAACGTGCAATGTTTGGCGACTCCGACAGCTCATGGCTGGCGATAGGACCAGACCTGGAACGGTAAAACTGTGGGCCACATTGGGGCAGCGATAGCGACATGCCCGAAAGGTCCGCGATCTCATGCACCCAGTAGGGAGTACAGCTGTTGAACGCTGCGCAGGTTCAACCATCCTCTGCACTGCGAGTCTCATCCTTTCGGTACGAATTGAGCCGTTGATGGTGTCAACCCGCCCCCAGGTACTCCGTCCACTGCTCAGGTTCGAAAGGGCATTCCTGGTTACTAGTTGATGATCCCACGTTAACCAAGTCGGTGAGAACCCGCTCTCGCCGCTGGTAGTGCGCCCGCACCCTGGTGTGCGAAAAAACTCCAACAGGCTGGTGCCAGCCTACTGGGCACTGCACAACCTGGGAAAATTCGCCCTTGTTGTGCAAAGCCTAAAATTGCCGAGCTTCCTTGTGCATATCAATGTAGTGATAGCCGGACTTCTGAGACACGGTGGGCAGATAGCCGTGTGGGTGCGGCACTTCACACAAGCATCCCACGGGACTTATACCTGTAGCTCGGCACCACACGGTGCTCGATAACATAACATAACGTGCATCAGAAATTAGGCGGAATTTGGGAGTGGCCTTCTTTAGGAACAAAACCGAGGGGCAATACGCAGCGCAGTTGGCAGTCGACTCGTGGTCCCGCCCCAGTTGCGACCAGTTCGGTGATCGCAAAATTCAGTCTGCTGTTAGGCCGACGGTTGGTCAGGCTGTAGGGTGCTTCGCACAACAGCGGAAACCGAACAGTACCCAGGCCATGACCAGGCGGGACTGCGTAATTAACTGCCAACATGCTGCTTTGGCTTTCAACCGGGCCCTCATCTGTGATGGCTGGTTGGACTTAGGTTTGTCCGCACGCTGCAAACTCGTCCCGGCCCTCCTTACAACTCTCATGTCATCCACGCGCCGGGTGTGCACTTGTTCAGGGCCTGTCGGTACCGGTGTTCTCTCCGGGGAAATGCGGACACCTTGGTTGCGGGCACTGGCTTGCCGTGTCACGCCTCTTATGGGGCACTTGTGTCGGCCGGCTCGAGGCTGGTCCGGCATCCGTAGGATAAACTTGCGTTTGACGCGCTGGTATAATCAGTGCTGCTGAGGGATCGCTATATTTTGAGCCAAAGAGTAACCGTAGATTTGGTCTTGTTGCCGATTGCGATGGTGTTGAGCCATTGCTGCGTACATAAGATCGCGCCCGACGAAGATGCACTGTCTGGTGACGACCACAGTGGTCGAAGCTGTATGACTTTGGCACAACCCCCGCCGATGTGCGGCCGGGCGCGCTGGTTGTTGCAGGCCGCTGGTCAGGAGACGGGAAAAGGGGCCAATCCTTCTTAAGTAAGCCTCTTCTGTCATTGAATAGCGGGACAAGATCGTTTAGTAGACGAACGCGCATGAACAGGTTCCCTTGAATGGCAATGAATTAGTAGCCATGTCCTGTTCGCTGGGCACCCAGGAAGATCTTGTATATGTAGGGTGTTAAGATCTAGAGACGCGGCGGCAAGGTACGCAAAGCACGAAGGCGAAGTCGGGATGTATCGGGGAAAACTGGTGTGATGAAGCGGGAGTATGGAACCAGTGCGCTGTCTTCTTGTGCTTGCCCGGAGTGGGCACTCATGTTGGATGGTTGGGTAGCTGATGTGAAGTGGGGGCAAGGAAGGAAATTGGGTTTCTGCATACCCGCGCAGCTTTAGCACCGAAGGTAATTTAAGCCTGCCCACACAGTAGGGCACGACAGACCGATTGAATGGGTCTTGTAGCCTCTTTACCCTGCCGCAGTCACTTGAGTATGTACCCTTTGCGGGGGTGGGGTGCGTCACTGTCGACTGCCAAAGTAATCACAACTGCGAGCTACATCCGGCCATAACCACAGTGAAGACGGGCAGTATTAGAGCTCTTCTCACAAGAGACTTCTGGCCATATCCAGCCTAAGCACAGCGAGTGTCCAAATTGCTGGCCACATCCGGCCTCGTAAGCAGCTTGTGTGGGATGTTACTGGCCCCTCCAGCCTATAGCTGTCGGCTGTCGGTCTTTACCGGCTCCAAGCAGGGGAGAAGAATATCGGAACCGTTAGTAACCTTAAGCAATTGATGCGCGAGATCCAAAAAACTGCCCGGCCCATGCGGCAGCATGAGCCGTCTATGCGCGAAGTCCCAAAACTGCCTGGCCCGAACGGCCACATAAAAAAGGCGATGTGCAATTCCACGAAAACTGCCTGGCCCGAACGGCCTCACAACAGTCGATGCGCGAGGTCCACGAAACTGCCGGCCCAAACGGCCTCATAAGCAGTTGATGCGCGATATCCAAAAACTGCCGGCCACATCTGCCCGCGCAAGCAGTCCAAGCGCGATAGTACTAGCTAGATATAACCTTGGGGAAAGCGCTCTCGGCTTCGTGACTTGTGGTAGTTAAGCCCGGTGTCCGGTAGTTGCTGTGGCGCATCACACCGCCAGTGCCTGAAGGGGGCCGGTGGACAGAGCCAGGGTAGGTTGCATGCCTGCTGCAGGAGCCTGTCGCGTTAGCCCAGCCGTTGACACCCACGCTGCCTGCTGGCCGCATGAGCCCAGTGTGAATGGTGGTGGTTCGTCCATTTGGGCGTCCTCGAACATGCGATCCCCCGTTGCCCAGCGTCCTGGCAGGTTGTAAACCTTGCCCCGGAAATGTGGCGAATACGACAAAGGATCTGTACAACATTATTTGTAACTGGGTGTGACAGCCGGAGGATTCAGTAGTTGTGTAACGGTATGTGTGAAAGACGCTCGAATAAACGACAAATGAAGTGGTACGCATTAGAATTCACACCTCAAGATAACAACATGTCATAGCGGATTTGAACTCCTAATGTATGGTGGCGTTCCTAGCGGCAATGGAAGCTAAATAGCGGAGGTTGGTTAACCACGTGACAGCTTTCAGCAACGCCTGACCTTCTTCGGACGCATCATCCGCCATTGCTGTTCAAATTACGTTAATGCGCTCAATGGCGACGCGCACAACCTTCACCAAGGCCCAGGATCCGCGTAATTGCGGGTGGCTGGCTAGGGGCCGGCGGCTCCGCAAATTGTAAAAGATTATCGCTTTGGGCTGAGCTAACATCAGCTGGGTTAGCTCCTCGTGCTCCTTCAGCCTCCGATCGAAGTAAGCTGTGAGTGCTGGCGAAATAACTCGCGCTCCTCAGCTAGCTGCTGTTCGAAGAGGAAATAACTCGCGCTCCTCAGCTAGCTGCTGTTCGAAGAGGGCCCGCATTTCGGGAGTGAGCACTAATCTTTCTGCGCCCGCAGCGCCAATTTCCATAGCCGACATTCGATTCTAGTAATGCTAAGAAAAGACGGTGCAACACATAACTAGAGGACACTGTCCCAGCAGCGGGACACACCTCTTGGTAATAGTCAAAACAACGGCAGTTAAAGAACCAATGCGCCTGTGGGACCCAAGTAGGAGCTCGGCGTCCCTTGCCGTACTGCGGTCCGGCACATGCATGCATGCATGCGCCCTACTTCCACGCACCACGGCAGTTCCTTCGCAATAACTTGCCTATCTCTACACTCATACTTCGCTTCGAGAAGTCGAAGCTTAAGCTAGGCAAGTGTCAAGGGAGAGTGAGGGGGCATCGGAGCCACTCGCGTATGAGGTTTTAATACTGTGTGGGTGCAGTGATGTTGGATTATAGGCCCCATCTAGACGCGGTATAAGAATCAGAGTCAGTGCAGTACAAATGGGCAGTTCACGGGGGTTGCTACCGGTGCCGCTACCACCACAGCTGCCGCAGCTGCAGTCAACCTTGTCACCATTTCGCCCTTGTGTTTAATCCTCATCCCCTTGCGTGTTTAGCGATGCCCCCGTCTGTGGTCCCCTGCCGGTCTGTCGGTCCGGTGTAAAGAAGTCTATTATCTGCCTGGGGCCCTGCGCCTGCCCCTGTTAAGCTTGCTCCTGCTGCGGCGGCCCTTGGCTCGCAGCTCGTTCCTGCCTCCGGACGGCTGCCCTCCAGCAGCATCCTGCCAATTTCTTCCATGGCCGACAGGGCCGCTTGGGCGGCAACTGCCTGTTCACAACCGGCTGGCGACTGTACTTGTTGTAGCATGATGGCTACGGTGCTTGTTATGCGACTAACTTTAAGATATTACAATTATAATTTGAATCTAGCTCGTTCCCATCTGGAAAGCATGATACATCTTATGCCTTTAGTTTGAAGTACATGTGTTCGTTAGGCCCGATCCGGCTAACGGACAGCGAAGCCAAATTCCAACAAGCAACGGTCGAACTTGGTCTTGGATCTTGGTTCCTGATTGCAAGCAAGCATTTTCCAACAGACTCATAAGTACCATCCAGGAGCTTTGGAAAGAGATCAGGCTAGCCAAAGGCGTCAATGAGTCCTTGCGATTTCCTGAGTCTATACAAAAGCACCTCTAAGACATACTCTAAAGCCTATACACATTTGTTGATATGTACATGACACTACGTGCACGGAGGCCGTTATGGTTCCTGTTAGCAAGCAATTGGCCTTGCACTTCCGTCCGTCATAGCTCTAATGGCGTCAACGAGCTAAGGAGAGTCCTTAAACAACTAAAAAATGATGTTGAGGTTGAAGCACGCAATACCAGCAACGGAGGACAGCGCGGAACACTTCCCGAAGAAGGTGTTGCGGGCATTTATAGCGCCGAGGGAACAAACGCAGAAGACCCAGCAAACAAGCTGCAGAAGTCAGCAGTTCTCATCAAGGAACTACTGAGAATATTCACAAGGAAGGTGCCCGGCGGACTCGTCCCAGACGGCCTCGTTCAGGGTGTTATGCAGGTGCGCACGGATACAATTTCAGCAGGTAATCTACATAACCTCGTTTCATGCCTTGGACATCGGTGCGCCGTTCATCACCGCACACGGCACTTGACTGATAGTTATTATCTCCGTTTATCGTCAACTTGTACTGCACAGCTTTTCGTGTAGTAAGTCCAGTAAGCTCCGCGGGTGGACGCAGAAGTAATGCAGAAAAGGCTGCTCCAGATTTGCAACATCAACTATGCGACGATTACTAACACCTTATCCAAAACCCTAAAACCCACCAGACCTACCGGGAGATCAACAATCCAAAGGACCGCCTGGCCTTCTTGCTCCTGCTCACTAACGAGATGGGGCTGTCAGGTGAGCCCCTGAAACTGTGTCTGTTTTTCTCCGTACATTTACGTACCACGATACCAGCCGTACATGTACCTCACCTACTACCTACCTACCTACCTACTGTTCC